GAGCAGATTACATGCTAATGGCAGGGGTGTCTGGCCTGGGTGGAGACCCTCTGGCTGGCTGTGGGGTGCATACAGAGTACACTCATCTTGGGCGGGGGGAAAAACTACCGCGTGCAAGAACAACAATATTTAACACGGCCCTGCCAGAACATCTCATATCATCCTCTCCACCTGAGCGGTGGAAGAACGGACACATTGTTGTTAAATTGCATTAAAGTTGTAGGGAGATGCATAAATTGTTAGACCCTTTTCTGGATTTGGCCACAAGGCAGGGTTATAAGACTTTTGCTCCTCCAATCCACTTGGGTAGCTCTCTAGTTCAAGGTCTTAGAGACGCTGTTATGCAAGATGATGAGGGTGAGATCTGACATTAAACACTGTAGGGTTGAAGAAATGATCAGATGAGGCAGGGCTGCTGAAGCTGGATAGATGACTGACTTATTATTAATTTACGTGGCTGATGCTTTTATCCACAGTGCGTTTAATTTGTACAGCAGGGGTATTTTACTGAAGCAAATACCCTTGCTGACGGGTGTAAGAGCAGTGCCCCACCTGGGTTTTAAACCCAGAACCTTCCAGTTACACGTCCAGAGCCCCAACCGCTGCTCCACACGGCTGCCCACACTGTTGCCACATGGGGATGAGTCATTCATCTGAGGCTGGGTCGGCTAATATGAACCGCTCCTCTGAAATGCTTCACTGTGCAGTAATGGTAAAACAGTCCTTATAAAGACATCCGCCCGCCTGTCTTTTCTATTAGTCAGAGTACAGCCCACTCGTTAATACAGACTACGTTTCTCTCTCTCTCTCGCTATCTGTGCTGCCAACAGTCCCTCCCTCACAGGGGCCATTTCCTGCTGGCAGTGAGCTGTTCTTCTACAGCCCTGCCTCTGACTCCCGAAGTGGGTGAATAGAAAAAATGCAGAGCTGGAACTCCAGAAAAAGAGGAAGAGCCTGGCTTAACATGTGACGGTGTTTGTTTCTTGCTGCCATTGCAGCTGTAAGACACCATAGAGGAGAGGAAAGGCGAAACAAATTCAGCTTATGTGCAGTAAATGTCTGTGGAAGAAGATCGTGCCCTAAATACCACTAGAGTGAGAGGGAAAACGCCAGTTTCTTCACTGAGGAAAAGAATTACCAGAAGCATTTGCCACTGCCAATCGTTAACAGAGTGTAGTTCTTTACAAGAGTCCTGCGTGCGTGTGTATAATGTGGGGATTTGCAACGTATTGATAGATCTTGACTCAGTTTCCCAGACATTCAAAGAGTTAATCTTTTGCTGTGGATGTCAGGTGGCGAAGCCCTATCCCAATCTTACAGTGGAATTGATAAAGATGGTGCTCTCCTCTAGAATGTGCAGCCATTGCTCATGCTGTGAGCCCCACAGAGCCCATGACAGAGCTTTCAGGACTTGGCCCAATGATGATGAAGCACTGAGAGCTCTTGGGTACTAGGCAGGGCTTTGCAGCGGCTGTTTTGCGCTTAGCTGAGGCTGTCCTCGTTGAACGGGTCCTCACCCTAGAGACACATGGCCAAGTGTGTGCCACCAATTGGGAAATCTTATTCAAAGCAGACAAATGACGTACTGTATTCCAGATTCAACTAGCAATTTGTTAGCTGTGAAGACTAACCTGTCTCTCGAATGAGAGTCTTTTCCTGTTCAAAGTGCTGAGCGGCAGTATTTCAGATCTGATTATTGAATATGCAATATGCACAATATTAAGCTATTTAACACAGTTAGTAGATTGGTAGTTCATATAAACACCTTATTTATAAAACATTCCTTTAGCCCTGAATTTGATACCCTGGCTTTTCTCACAAAACGGCAGGATGAGAGCCATAGATCAATTAGCTACAAGTCCCAAATTGAGCTGACCAGATCACCTCTTCGTGTGAGTGACCCTTTTTCTATAAAGGTTCTCATACATTTATGTGTGATTTTACAGTGTATTCTACTGTTTTTAGGCAAGTTCTTTCTTCTTGCCAATACATTTAGTGTTGGTGGGAGCAGAGGCTATAGAACTCTCAGATTTATGTTCATGTGCTTTACATGGTGACAATGAACTACTGAATTCCACACGTTGGCTATGGCTTATTCTCAAAAAAGAGTGACCCCCGAGATGGATAACTGGAAGCTGCACCTTCTGGAAAAACAAAACTTTACTGTGTACTAGAGCTCCAAACCACCGAGACATGCACTGTTTGTGAGACGCAGTTTAGTGTACAGCGCCAATGGAAATGAGGAATCGCAGGGCATACCTTTCTCGCTGTACGTTAGAACAGCTGCACATGCTTGTTTTTAACTTATTGTGTCCTGAACCTGTAAATTCTGTGTGTATGACTCTCCGTTCTTCTTCTGAAAAATCAATTTCAGAACGTGCAGTGAACATTTTCTCACCGTTGTGGACTTTATCATGCTTTAAGGGGCTTTTCTTGTCTTGACTTGCCTGGCAACTGATGGGCCCCATTCTGACCTTCAGGGAGTTCATTTGTTTGTTCCAGAGGATAAACAAGCAAAGGGCAGTCGCACTTTTGTCAGGAAGTGCAGGCTTGCGTCTTGAGTATTTTCCCTTTGTAACCTGTTGAATCCGCTCCTCATTTTGATACACATCTCGTCACTCTCTCTGCTGTCGATTGCTGCAGTTGCTATAGTAAAATAGGTAAGAAGCTCATCGTATGCAAGTCAGACTCTTGGAAATAGGTGGGGTGGATATGATGCGCTGCTCCTTGAAGAATTCAGTACCTGTCTGTCATCTTGAACTGGATTTTGTCAATAGGTACAGCGTCACAAATGTCAAATAAAGTAAAAATGATGAATAGTAAAGGATTGAATTACTGTTGTTTTTACAGTATATCTACAGGTTCTTTTATTAACATTTTATGTTAATTTGCAGTTTTAACATTTTTCTTGAAGCAGTTCAGTTCTGGAGACAGCGGAATGTCTTTTCCGTCTGTGCTCTTTAACTGACGAGCTGATTTTGAATAACAAATCCCTTCTTGATCATGGACTGCTAAACCACCACTTGTACCATCTTGGCGGTCTTAGTATTGGATTAAAATATTAGCTAGAGACTACATTTGTAACATTTGACTGACTTTCAGTACTAATTTTCTTTTTATAGAGTGTTGTTTCTGGCAAAGAACACAAAACTAACCTTCTGGATACTAAGATATAATAATTTGATTTGACTATATTTGTGAAGCTTATTATCTGTTTTTATTAAACCTCTGAATAGGCAATATATAGAGAGAGAGCTACAACAGGCACAGGGATAAACTGAAAATGTTGAAATGTATGAACAACACTGTATGTGTACGTCTGTGCAGATGAGGCGATGTACGGTAAATGGATACTTGTCTGAAAGGCAATGCACACTTCTGAAGAATACAAACAGACAAAACAGGACTGTGTGGGGCTGCTTGCACACAGGCCAGCAAAACAGTTGGCCTACAAATTGTGTGGATGGACTCAGCAGGCCGGGCTTTGTGGGTCTGGAGCCCGCGGAGCCTCTGAAGTAGATTTCTGCCCATCTACGTGGACTGATGGAGGCCAATACACAGCGGCTCAGTGGGGTCCGTGTGAGTTGTGTCCAGGCCTTCGCAGTCATGGCCAACTCTCCTTTCTGCTTTCCTTAGCACAATATTGGCATTAGGGATAGAAAAGTCAATTTATTTTATGTAGGGGTGGGGGGGACTTTATCATAAGCCAGGGAATCACATCTTGGTTTCAGTTTAGCCAGTAACCGGATATTGAAGGTAGCAGTTGATACAGGAGGCCTTGATGTATCACTATGGAAATATCCAGTAAACCAGCTTTCTCAGAACCTTTAATGTAGATCCTGTCAGGAATGGACAACAGTTCCTCAGACTTCAGTTGCTGTATGAGTATGGGCAGCCCACCAAGTGTTAATCCCACAAAAACAGTGCCAGTGATGTGTATAGCACCACAATAAAGATGAGGAAAGAAATATCCACTTACAGTGCAAACTGACCTTCTTTCTTGCGCCAATTTCTACAGTCCTGGCCTGTCATCATGGACCTTGTTGAATTGGCTCACTCTTCATGCTATTACTTAATCCAGATTGCACTTCTGAAAGGCTTTGATGACCATGTTAATAAGAATTTTATGCAGAGAAAAAATATTCTACGTTTAAACATTAAACTATTCAAGGCACGACAAATAATTCCCTTGTCAGTTTAATCAACTCTTAATGAGGCAAATCGAAGACTACAGTGTAAAAGAAGTTTCAAAAAAATTCTAAAAGTAAAAATTGTAGGAACATTCGCTGTTGGTGCTCTTTGGGCTTCGTCCTCAGTGTTGCGCAAACAAAAGGTCAAACTGCCAAATCTTTATTTGAGAGTCCGAGAGCGAGGGTCAAAAAGACCCGGGTTGCAAAGAGTGTGGTGGGGAAAAAAATCGAAACTCGAGGCGTCGGCCCTGAACGAAAGTGAAGCAAAGCGATTCAAAGCAACGCAGCGTGTTAGAAAGCGACAACTGCGACTTTGTCGACCGTGTGCCTTAGCGGCCGCCCCCCGCCCGGAGGCTGCACACTCGCCGCCCCGTGAGCTGGATGCAGCTGTTTCCCTGGAGCGAGCGAGGCGCGGCAGCTCTCCCCGCAGCTCCGCCTCCCCCCGGTTTTTTCTCTGTACCCCAGCCCCCTCTCCTCACCGAGAGAAGCACGGCTTAGAAAGTATACGTCAGCCCTGCCTGTGCAGTTGCTTGTTTGTCAGCTGTCGGGAGTGGGAGAGTGGCGGAGGGGGGAAGGAGACCTCCGCTGTACGCCAGTTCCTAAGGTTTTTCTTTCTCCCTCTATTCTATGTGGTTCTTTCCAACCTAAACAGGCAGCATCACAGTAACGGTGCCCGTAAGGAAAAGAGCGAGGGTATTCGCCCGCGATGCTAAACATGTCCTGCAACTTTATGGTGAAGAGTTCGAATGAAGTGGCATTAAATAAAAAAGGTAAGAAACGATTGTTGAAGTCTGCGAGCTGCTCCGTGTTTGCAAGGCTGAATTAAAAGGGGTGCGAGCAACTGAAACTTTACCGTGGATATATTTAAACAAAACAAAGCTGTTTCGTAGTTTTAGGTGTTTACATAATGCTTGCTTTGCGGGCGGTCGTTTGCTTAGAATGGGACAGAAGTTGCGAGCAAAGGTTTTGTATGTAGCTGTCATTAGTTGTTTAACAATCAACTTCGCTGTCAAATTGTAGCTTGGATATTCGACGTACAGTAGCTCGGTGTCATTGTGAAGTCGTTTCACTGTGTCCTAGCACTGCGCAGATGAGCTCCACAGCGGTTTGTTGGGTGACAAATGACCAGTGGCGATAGTAGTAAACAAGCCTTGCAGAAAAACACCGGAGGGGCAGATCACTTCGTGTGGTTTGTGTTTCTGGTGTTTACACAGTTGGAACATTTGAATCGACTTTTTGTGTGAATCGAATTTTAAAAATGTCTAAAACTCACCAGTCGGATGTCTCTTCCTCTAGTTGATAAAAATGGGTGAGTTAGACAGGGAGGGGTAGTTTGAGAAAGACTTAATGGCAGATGGTGGCTTCAGCAGGTGTTCTGTTTTTTTTTTCTCCTTTTTTGGAAGGAGTATTACACTGAGTTACATCTATGTATTTGCATATATGTTTGATCAAAATGGTGGCACTTCTAATTCTGACCTTGCAGTGACCAAGTGACACTGTTGAGTTTCCTGGAACAACTAAAAAATTACAAGTTATGCATTAATCTTTTGCGTACAGAGGTATATATGGATTGAATCCTGTAATTCATAAAAGCTGGAATGGGGATAAGGCATAAATAAATGGACTTTTAAGATTTTTTTCCCCATAATCCATTTTCTACCCACTTTATCCAGTAAATTAGGAGGAGCCTATCCCAGCAAGCTACAGGCACAAGGCTCGATTCACCCTCGACGGGACGCCAGCATATCACAGGGCACTCAGACACAGACATGTACCAGTCACGCCAGGGCCAATTTTCCCAGAAGCCAGTCAACCTGTCTTTGGACTGTGGGAAGAAAGCAGAGCACCTAGGGGAAACCCACATGAACAGGGGCAGAACCTAGAAGCTCCACGCAGTTAGCAGCCCAGGGATCGAACCCAGGGCCCCAGCGTTGTGAGGCAGCGTTGCTAACCACCTCCTCCCTTTTTTCCATTTTTATAAACAAAGCTCGCTTATTTCTGATTCACTTCAAATTAAAGTGAAGCTGCTGTCTGCTTAACCAGGAAACAGTTAACATACAACAGTGAGGTAGAACGGTGATGTTTGTGGTGACTTTCAGAGCACTTTTTGCCAGTCTAGAGTGCTTCATGTGCTATACGGTTTCCCCAGCACTGGACCACTTTGGGTAGCTAGACCTTAAATACAAGGCTTAGTGAAAACTGCAGAACAGTAGGTTCAACTGGTATCTACTGGTTAATAGTACCTTCCAGTTCTGAATGTGTCAGTGTAGAAAAGTTTATTAAAGCATCACTTTTAAAGAGAGAGTTTACAGCCTACTGGTAGTTATTAAATTAGCTGTATAAATTGACTGGTGAGTAGTGTAAACTGGTTCAGGCTGGTAAGTATCAATTAAGACTAATTAGTAATTTCTGCTGGAAGCAACAGCATTCCTATTAGGGACTGGGCCAATTCCTGCTGTCTTTTCCATCATGGCAGATTTAAATACTGTCCAGTGTTAAGCGCTGTGGGGAGCTTGCCTTGTGACCTCCGCAGTGTCTCTCTTTCTGGTTACTGTGGAATCACCGTTCAGGTTTGTCCTTTTCCATGCCATTTGAAAAGCAAGAATTATTTAGCCATAGATGCATGTTCAGTGGTGAGAATTGTTTGCTGTGTTGGACTTTTTGGATTTTGTGCTGCATTTTTACAGTTAAAAAAGGTTCGGTATAACATATCTCAGAGCATTTTGCATGGATCCAGTGATGTGTGTCTTTAAGAAGATGCTGCAGCAAATATTTCTGTGTGACTTTAATATAACTTTGGCTGTCAAATTATAGGTTAATGTTAAGATATGGACAAACTATAGGTAATGTCAAAACCTTATTTATTGTCGTAGAAAAGTGTCTCATTTGTCAGATGTGGCTATAAAGTAGGCCTGTTATTATGGTGCATGAAATTAGACATCTGGATTTGTATTATCTTGTAATCTGAAGTGATTTCTATGTGTATATCCCCTTGGAAAGTATTTCAACCTGTGTACCATTGTTTCATGTGCCCTGTACTAATTTATTTAAATGTGCTTGAAATTTTGATCAAGGGGCTCCTAATTAATTCTTACAATGCTTTTGATTTAGTTGCTGGCATTGATGGATTTGATCTTGAGCACCTGTTATGCACTTCATTGAGAATATATGGATTTCTTAATGTAATTAATGTCTCGTAAGGGACTCGTAAGTTGTGTGGCATTGCTACTAAACGGATATCAAGGATTTGTTAGGTCAGATAAGCATAGAACAGCTAAAAGATTATTCCTGTAATAATGTATCCTTTAAAACCTGCGGCCAGCGCTAGCTGCAAATTCAGGAGCCGTTAGGTTTCAGGCTGGGAGCGGCCTGCTGCGAGTTACTGAGTGATGAATGAACAGTGGACACAGTAAGTGCCTGCGGCGAATGAGGAAAGAAAGGGCTGTGATCACTCGGCTTCCTGTTCTGGGCTCCAGAATGCACGTTAACATGCACTGATCAAGGCGACCTCTGCTAGTGCACGGTACTGCAGGGCCTTTCAGTCAGAGGCAGGACCACTGGAGCCCATTGGTGATTGTAAATTATTGAGCAGGTCTGCTGCCAGCTTGTATTTAAAAATGTCATTACCTGAGCTGGTTTCATTGCAGGGTTACTCTAAAGCTATTGGCCTATCCAGACGAGATAGAAAGAAATCCTCTGTGTTAAGTGTGCGAGTAGAATTGTTTCGGGGTTTTTTGGCGTTTGTGAGTAAAGTCATGTGCTTGACTTGATTTTGAGAAGTCCTTCTCCGTTTTCCTGGCTTAAGAGCTCTTCCAGGGTCCGCATGGCAGCACCGTCAGCGTTTAACTTTTGTGAGCAAAAAAAAAGCCGCAGTGCAAACTGGGGGATTGTGGTGCTGCAGTAAGGTGGAAGTGGTTCCTGAAAGAGTACTGCCTGACGTGGGAAACGCTGCCGAACGCTTTCTTGTGAGAAGCTTGGACAGACGGATGCAGCGAAGTGGGATCAAAAACACCTGGCGGCTCCTAATTGGAGCTGGCGGCTTTGGGAGCTGTTGGTGATCTGCTTGTCTTGTCTTCAGTCTCCGTGCACACCTCTCCTTCAGCCTGAGCTTGAGTACAGCTGCACAGCCAATATAGGCTCCTCGTGCTTCTTTACATAACACAAAAAAATCCTCTCCGGGCGCGTTCCTCGCTTCTTCTCCTCTTCCCCCTCTCTGCTGCTGCAACAGAGGTTTCAGACAGCTTGTCCTGGCTTTGCGCGGCACAGCTGACTGGAAGAGAAGAATGCAGTTTCCCAGCAGTGGTGCAGAGGGTCACCCCGTGCCTCTCGTTTATTTCTGCTCACTTCCCTGTCCTACAACTTTTACGTTTGCTTGAAGGTGGGCTGGACTCCAGCACTGAGGCAGAGGTGGGGTGCGAGGTGCCGACTTTTCTCCTGGCTAACTCGTGGCCCATCTGTGCTGCCTTTGGAGACGCGCAACTTGAAAGAATTTTTGCTTTAACAGAATTTAAGATGCGCTGTTAAAGCCTCGCAAACGCGGAAGGTTTTTCCAGAGTTGTCGTAATTCTCGACGCAACAAGGCACCAGCATCAAGCGGTGTACGAACCGTTTCTAAACCTGTCTGATTCCGAGATTCGGCGTGCCGTTCGCACTGCCCACAGCAGCCTTGTGTGAAGTGTACAAAGAAAACCGTCAGACAGTAGAATGCGCCTTGCGAAGGAGTCTGGCTGCTTGCCTGCTTACTTAGAGACAGGTTCTATAACTGTCATAGTGGGTAGATTGATATGAATCGCCATGGTGACCAGCGTGTTCCACTCAGAACCCATTTCTCCGGCTGGAGAGAAGCCCTTTGAGACCGTGCTGGTGAGCTGCTGCAGAGCTCCTGTACTGCTGACTAGTGCAAGAACAGACAGGTATAGAGGAAGGATGGTTATAAAATAAGAGCTCTTAAGTCTTTTCACCCATGTGGTCCTTTGCTTTCCTTCATCGGGAACATTTGCACGGAATATGATTTCTTTACCAAGTGCCGATGTGGTTTAACTACAGCCATCTTTTTAATCAAAAGGAAGAAACCTTTCGTTCTACAGCAGTAGATTATAAGAATGAATTTCATGGTGTTTTCAAATAACTGAAACACTGAACCACTGCTTAGTCAAGTCTCTCCAAAGAGAAATTCTAACTGAGGCACTCTTAGACAACAACAGCCGGTTTGTAAATACTGTCAATCCAAATGCCGATAAAAAACATTTTTCCCCTCTTATATTTGCTGTCCAAGACAAAACATCTTAAAAGCTAGTCTCTCGTGCACATTTTAGGTCATGATTGTCCATATAGCGAATATTTCTGAAATACCAATTGTTGGAGAGAAACTAGCTCCTTTCACGTTCTCTTGGCCTACATTAATGCTGACTTTGCTATTTTGTGTGATCACACGTACACCTAATCCAAACTGTAAAATCTCGTCACTTTTAGACAAGTGATTTTAAAGCTTCCTGACCTCTCGCATTAATGCTGTGAATCGACATGATTTCCATTAAGACAGGACTTCAGAGGGCTTGTCTGCAGCAATGATGCCTGGAGTTCTCGGTACAGCTTGCTCAACATCTTGCAAGCATGCCATCTATTGCACAAGAGATCTATCCAGAGTCTCGAATCTCTTCCTTATTGCCCGTCAAACTGAAATCTATACCCAGCTCACCCCGCTGGTCCTAAACAGCTTCTGTGAAGGTAAAAGAAACTCCCAAGATTTTTTCAATTACTGATGCATCTATCGATTCCCTGTGAGACTCTGGATAGATCTCTGAGGCATGGTCGTTCCTGTTCTCTATTAGACAGTTTTTTTTTTTTCATTTTCTTCCCAGATACATGTTGGGCAGAGGCGTGAAACGCAAGCTGAGTGACTACGAGGAGAGCATGGCCGCCGGGATCCCGGGCGTCTCTGACTCTGGCTTCACCCTGCCCTACCTGCAGCAGCGGCAGCTGGTGCTCGACATGTGCTTGAGCAAACTGCAGAGCTGCCACAGGAAGGTGGAGCCCAGCCTGCACCGCTCCGTCCTGCTGGCCAACACCCTGCGGCAGATCCAGGAGGAGATGCGCCAGGAGGGGGGCGACCCGCCGCTGACCCCCCAGTGCGGGGAGGGCGTCTGCAGCCCTGCCACGCCCATGCACACCCCCGACCTGCCCCCCGTGCCGCCGGAAAGCCCGGGGGGCGGCAGCGTGACTGACGGCGGCGCGGCCCCACCTGCTCCCTCCCTCCCGCCGGAGGCCGCGAGCGAGCCGCTGGCCTGCCCCCGCTGCGCCAGCAGCGAAGAGGGGATGTGCTTCGCCCCCTCGCCGGGCCCTCCCCCCTTCGCGGCCGAGGGAGACGCCAGGTCGCCCGACTCGCTCTTCAGCTGCTTCGAGATCACCAACTCCACCAGCTACCTGACGGACCTGGCGTTCGACGATATCTTCGAGGACATTGACACTTCCATGTATGATTCGTCGGACTTCTCTTCCGTTCTGGCTTTCCCGGCGTCCTCCGCGGAAGACGGCCTCAAGTCATTCCCCACCTGCAACTCCCCCTCTGCCAGCGGCATTCAGATCTGCATTACGGACCTGAACGATCTGGATCACATCATGGAGATCCTAGTGGGTTCCTGAAAAAGGCTTGGGAGTGGGAATAATACATTTTTATTACAGTATATTTATATTTTTCTACAAATGACCTTAAGCTATTTATAAGTAAGAGACGTGATGCACATGAAATGCACCTACAGTAGATTAATTGCACGTTTTAAAGCTTGTTTGGAATTGGGTGCAAAGTTGAACTGAGCTGGAACACACATACGACAACAACCTAGTGTTACTTCAGACAAGTATATTTATTTTGTCAACGAATGCATTTTGTTCAATTTCATTGAAAATGCAAATGCAGCTGTGTGAAATCAGTGGTTAATTTGTGAGGCAAGAAATATCTTTTAGCTTTTTCAAAAAAGAATGATCTATTTATTTTTTTAATCAATTTTTAATATGTATTTCTACAACATGATCGTGTCTTATATTCGATTTTAAATGGTTGTGTATCAAATTGACCTAGCACACACAATGGATAAGGCTAACACTACCTCTTCAGACTTATCAATCTGCAGTGAGTGCTGTTTGATCTGAAACTCGAGAGCTTTCTCTTTATACTGTACAAAAACCTAACATTTTTCATAACAGTTCAGTATTTGCAATGGCTGCAAATTGGCAATTGTCAAAGATTCTTTTTAAAGCAGTTGTCCATTGAAAAGCAGTATTAAACAAATGTTTTTTATATCAAGATGATTTTATAGAAAACCCAGAATAGTGAATGAGGGAGATTTATAGTCTCTATAGCAACCCAAATAAGATGTCTCAAAACAGTGCCTACTGGAGGAAAAATAGACAGCTATTGTTTAACCTTACACTGTGGATTCACAAATGCATGCACTGGCTTGTAAAAGCTGCTGGTTTGCCTAATTTTCTTTGATCATATTGATTGTGACTTTTTCCTGCAAAAAGCTGTTTTACTGACATCGGCCGAGTGTTGAGACACTTTTGATCCATCTTCAAGCGACCTCCGCAAAGATTTTTCCAACCCGCGTTAGTGAATCATGAAAGTAATGTAAAGCATTCTTAAGCACCACTGGTATCCTACACTTTGCCATAACCGGAAATTTTATTTTGCTGTCTTATGCTTACCTAGCGCAGTTTGTGATTTTGAAGACTTCCCAGTTGTATAAGATCTGTAGAGAGGGGCTTTCTATTTAAAGTTTGTTTTATTTCGTTGTCTGATCACTTTTATTTGTACTTTCCTGTGGTTCAGTAGACAGTCTCTTGACCCGTTCATCTAGCTCACAGCCAACGGAGAACAGTGAAGCTTTCTAATTAGAGCATGATTGTCACCCAAACTGACGGATCTGTTATTGGAAGCAGCAAACGTTTCCCCGTATTCCCTGTACGTGGGCGCCACATGTATGTATTTGTACGTGTTTTCATGGGTGAACAGCTGGAGGCCAGATTATTTCCTCTGTTTTGTCAGGTGAGCTCAAAGGACATCGGTGCCCACTGTTCACTGAGATACAGTACATGCATGCGCACTACATAATCCTAATAGCCAGCCGATCTGCAGGCTGTTTGTGCTGAGGCAGGAGGGGGAGAGGGGAGAGGCATTGCAGCGTCACGTGCAGAGCTGCTCGCTGAACAGGGAGGGGCTACAGCTGGTGCCTCTGCCTCACCTCTCCCTTTGCGAGGGGCTTCATATTTAATAAGGCTCCTCCGGCAGCCGCCAGCTCCACCGTGGGAGGAGCGAGCTGTGCGCCCCTGTCTTTGTTAAACTCCAGACGGACGAGGGACGAAAACCGCTCTGATCTGGCCCGACACTTTTATAGCTTGATAGATCGCGGCAGTTCTGGTCTCTCATTTATTTCTGGCTTGAGAAATAGTTCTCGGCGTTATCAGAGCACTCTGCTGCCAGATATGTAGTGAGAACCATTGGAGTCCCTGATTTTAATGTTCAAAATTGATAGCTAAGGGAATAATGTTACAATGTTCACATTTAAATTAAAAGTACAGTCATTTAGAAAGCTTTTAGACTCCACACACATGGGCTGCAGTGTGGAGTGAAGCTGATTACCATGTGGGCGTTCTAAGGATTCCTTGTCCCCGTTGTGGTTTCAGTCGCACATGGCCATATTCCTCTGCCTCAGCCACTAACATGGCTCTGGCTGTTAGAGCACAGATTGTAGTTTACTGCTGAGTAGTACCCCTAGAAAAAAGCAGTCGTAACTGGAAAAAAGCAAAACTGAATGTATTGGCGTGGAACAAGCACTTTTATCGGGCATGTCCTTCAGCCTTGGTGTGAATGGAGATGCCATTGTTTAAACACCTTAAGAGAGAAACTTCTACTCCAGAGCACTATTCGCATAACAGGCCCTCCAGTCACCTTGAATTGAGCACAAATCATGTCGTTGTGTGTCAGTACTATGTATTTGTCCCCCTGAACAGGTTTATTTTTTTCTTCTTTAGTTCTGGAAATGTTTTCTCAGATTTGCAGTCTGACTTCTTTTGCCGAGAAGTGGGTAAATAGACTTGGCCACAGAATTAGATATGGAAGTTTGTAAGCTTTGTAAGCTTTTTTGTATATGCTGTATTTAAGTAATTCCTGCGTGATTATATATATATATTTAATTTTTATGATCATCACAAAAGAAGGAGCTAATATATTACATTTATTTAAGAATGGTAGCGGTCCACTCTCATTGGTTTTGGCAGGTTGCACAAAATGCCGGCGCCATTAGTTCTGAAAAAACTTCCCACTCGCTTGTCATCTTCTGTTGTTTTGTTGTAACTATATAGAAATCAGTTTGTATATATTTAATTTGTTATGGCTTATGATTTATTTTACTTTTTAATGTTATTTAATTGTCAATTGTGGTGTTCTTTCATGTAAAGCTGTGGAATATTCTATGCTGTTGCTATAGCAGCACGAAATGGGAGAAAAGGGTTGTGAAATGGGCAGTTTTCAGGCATGTCTGGCAGTTTTTAAAATCGTTGACTTCAGTAAGGGTCACATTACAAAACCTTTGTAAATTCTCTAAATTGGCATCTGCTTTTGTTAAATTGATAAAAATGCTTTTAAAAAGAAATCCCTTTTAATAAAATGGAGTCAGTGCTTCCAAATTCGGTGTAAATAGCTTTTGCTAAAAATATGGCACTGTTTAGAACATGAGGAATATTGTCTTGTATTTTATTTACCAAACCAGTGTTCCCACGAGATCTTCCACTTGTTTTCCGAAAGACCTGTCTGACTCTGTTGTGCCTGAAGATTTTCACAGCCTTTTCTTTCTTGGCTTGCTCTCTCAGCTCCCTGGGCCTCTCTGAACCCGTGGCACTCTATCGGTCTGGATACCGATGGCTAGGGGCTTCTCAGGGCTGGATTTTCTTCTCTGGTCCTACCATGTTTGTGCACTGCATTTCACTGGTTTTACAGTCCTCCAAGCTTTTAACTTCATTTTAAACTTCAATTCAATGTGTACACATACCACAATACATCAGGGAGAGCGCAGAACACCCGAACCACAGTTTAAGAGCGTCAGATTTCCGGTTGTCTCTTAAAGTAACACATGAAAACAAAAAACAAGTTCCTTCTAAAACAGTTTCTATGTTAGAATGAGGTTGATTAGCACACTGTAAGGCACTTCAAGTACTCAACTGTTGGTCCAGAGCATTGTAGAGTATCACTTTTATACATTTCCAGAATGCTGTAAAAACTGACTGCTAAGATTTCTTCACTCATGTCCTAAGTGCAATATAAACTTGTTTAATGCTAGGGAGCTGCCTCTGTGGCTTGTTACTTGCCATCATCTCTACTTCTCAGCACACTGTTATTTACTGTGTCACACTAGATGTAGGTGCTCCTTGAAAATAATAAAAGAAACATGATTGATGTGGATGTCTAACTACATGCATGAATATTTTTTTAATTCTCTTCTTTTTCAAGTTTTTGGTTTTGTTCTCTAGTAAGTAGAGACCCTGAACTGTGTGTATGTGTGTTCTGTACATACTTTTACTTTTTATCTGTCACCTTTATATCCTATGCAATACTATTGTAGCAGGTCAGTAAATCTATAACTTAAAAAACACAATCTGTGTTGAGTTTTATTGGCTTTTTACACTGCCAAGATTCTTGTTCCTGAACTCTGACTCTATTGCTCTTAAAGAGGGTTCCGTTTTCTGATGGAGGTTTCTATAGTGTGGTTTTAAAGATGCAGTGTTTAATGTGAATTACTTAGTTATACGGGAAAAGGCCACATCCTAGAATAATATGAGAAGTTTCCCTACCAAGGATTATCCTATTTCAGACTAAGTAGAAATGAATTAAAGTAACTCTCACAGGTATTAAATACAGGGTACTAATAGTCAACATTTGCTAGTTTTGGAAGCCGAATTAAATATTACAAATGCATCCAAGCAAGTGCTAAAGTGTTAGAGATTTAATTGCAGAGGCCATGCAAATACTTCAAACGCTACTGTTTATATCCCTGCCTCTAATTTCTTTGAATCTCCATTTTTCAAATTGTAAATTGTACATCATTTTTCTTTCAAATGCAGAGCTCAAGGAAACTCATAAGATCGTGTGCTCTGGTCTTTGGCAATCTGTGGTCTAGCACTGATCTTATACTGAATCTCTCCTAGGCATCTTCCCTGGGATTCCTCTGCTACACTATCAAACCTTAACTCAGTATGTTCTTTTTGGCTCCATTTACATTTATCTGGTCCACTGTAGTGTTTGAATTTATTATTTAAATGGTGATAAAAAACCTGAGGGGGAAAAGTTAGCCAGGATTTTTGAGGCAGCTAGGTGGATGTTAAGTCGTAGAAGCATGTATTCATTTGTTAGGTTTTCATATGAATTTTCATAACTGGACACGAGTTTTGCACAGGGTCAGTTCAAGTGCTCTTATGGTTCCATCTCCTCATTAAGCCAAAACCCCCAAAAATGTGCAAAATACTGTTAAGAATACAAGGCTGGTGCAGGATACTGTCTGCAAGGTGTACCTGAAACAGATCCTGAAAACAGATGACCTTTCTGTCACCACCTACTGGGGTAAGAGAAAGTCTTTTGTTCTTACACCCTACTTCTGATGTCTTCAAGGATAGACTGTGAATTGCATCACCCTGTTTTAAGCCTGATTGTTTTCATGCTGCACAGCAACAGAATACATGGCTCTAGGGTGCACAGGAAGCAGTGTGTTGCCTGCATTTATAAAGGAATGAAATTAGAGGTTAGAAAGACAGCTGAAATCCATGGCCATATAAAACCAGTTCAAACAGATTATTTTAAGAGTTTTTGTTTTAACGATGCCAAACATTTACAAAGTGAGATGAGATACAGCAATGACAGATTGTCAAGGTTTAAAATGTTTAGATTGGTCTAAGTAATTTTACATTTTGCTCACATGCAGTTTGCAATTCATTAGACAAAATAATTTGTTTAAAAAAACCTGTAAACACGATGAATTGGGTCATTCAATTACACCTTTCTAACCTTTATAAAAATATTCAGATTCATACCCATTGTTCGTTTACCCTACCGAATATATATAGGAACTACAGCTATGAAGTGAGAACACACAAAGATAGTACCTGCAAGAAACCTGAAGACAAACCCCTGCATCTTCATGAACTACAGAAGCAGATCACTACTGGTGTCTATGCACTTCTAATAAGCTGTTGTGCACAGAACAAATTGTGTGGGGCACGCAAAAAACGACTAAAGTCTAATCCGATTTTTTTGCTAGCATCTTTTTTTACTCAAAATATGTGCTACTGAAGTCAGTAAGTTGCATAAAGCTTCATTTCTATACATTATACAAAAACAGTACATCCTCAATGATCAATGAAAGCTGTAAATACAGAAAGGAGCATGCACAAGTCATGTGTGCTCAACGTCACAGTAGGCGTACAGTAAACAAATAGTGGAATTCTAAGGCTTTTGCTAAAACAATATTTTGCCCATTATCTAAGATCTACCTTATCTTCATCTTTATAAAGGTTTACTGCATTAGAGTTATTTCAGTTGTACTGGAAGACTCAAGAGAACTCTTGAAATTTTTTTTTTTTGTGCTCTGCCCATGTCAGTCCTTCGTTTTTGAGGTGAGAGCCAGAATGCAGCAATAGGTAGAAAATTGGCGCATGGCAGTGATGGAGCACAAGAGTTGTTTTGCAAATTCTGAAGGCTCTAAAAACTGCTTATAAAGTTTAGAATCAGAATACAGAATGAGTTTTTCATTGTATTTTTTTATAAGTTTGTGAAAAGTACATTTTATACACTTTTTGGTGGTAACATAAGTCACCTTTTTCTTCCAGACATTCATCCATTTTATAACTGATTGTTCCAGTTTAGAGCCTAACCTGGCAAACAACAGGCCCAAGGTAAGGTACACACTGGGCAGGACGCCAGTCCATCGCGGGGCACACAGACAAACACTCACACCTAGGGACAATTTTCCCAGAAGCCAATTAAGCGACAGGTACGTCTTTGGACAACTTTTTGTTATTCCTAATTAAAATTTTCACACAGTAACATATATAGGAATATGGGCCCCACCTTCCTTTATCTATTTTAGGCATCTTTGCAGTTGACTGAAAAATCTAACATGCATTCTGTGTTACTACAGTACCAACAACGTAAATGTGCATTCAAACAGTTTTACCACAACAGATCCCGGCTCTTGACTTCAGTGTTGTAAACAGCATTACAGAAATCCTTCACTACAGGAGCTGGCTTCAGGAAAAGAAACCTCTCTTGTTATGTTGTATAGGGAGATGTTGTCCATGGCTGGAGATCCACTCCTGGGAGATCTGGTAGAGGTAGTGGGGTGCGCTCTGTGAACATTGTGATGGCTGGAGCAGCTGTAGAGGAAGAAAAGAGGCCGTAGTCTCACCTTCACTCTCTGGCACCTTCACGTCTCACAGTTAGAAGGTGAAAGCTACAGTAGCAGGTGCAGAGGGCAGGAATACGGCATCACATCACGTTTCTCAGCCATACAATAAAAAAGAAGCTGAACTGTTACGGATGTCACTCAGCAAGAGTTTTTTAATATGCAGTGCTTTGTACTGCAACAAGACATGTCCATAAAAATCATTCCAAAGGGCGCAGGTTGTGTTTATACAGGACACACACATCACAAGAGTGAGTCTTTAGCTGACTGTTCTCTGTGACTTCGCATCCTCTGCTTTTACAAACAGAGGAATATGAGGCGGAGATCAATGCGTGTTTATGGTATACTGGTCTCAAGGATATTTTAACCAGTAATATTTAGTTCTAACAAACAACCTAATGACCGAGCCTTATCATGATTGCTTTTACACTTGCACACACACATTTTGGATATATACTGTACCAACACTATCATTTTAATAAAGAACAAACACAGGTGGATTAGGAGGAAAATGAAAATGGCAGTTTCTGCTCTCCTTGTCTCACCTTAGTTTGAATCAGTGCCCTAGTGCCTGAGCTTGATAATTCTTTGCAGGTCTCCTGAGATTTGGTCTTCACAAGCAGCCGACTCTACAAGGTAAAAATAAGGAAATGAATCTCTGTGCTGAAAGTACGAACAAGAAAGAAACCAACATGTCTGTAGGCCAAATGGAAGGCTTACAGGCTGTCTCTCTGTACCACTAAAGCTTTATACAAGAACAGGGAACAGCAGCAATGTCGAATGCACTTAAGACTTTACACCTGTATTAAAGAAAATGCACTACAGCCTGAACCAAATCACAACTTTGATGTAGTTTTTCTGCATATACTGAAAGGGATATACTGCCATGACATTATTTGATGCATTAAAACTAAAAAAGGCTAATATTGGATGCTTCATATACAGCTAAAACAAAAAAATAACTGAGAATTCACTACAAATAAAAACCCAAGAAGCACCAGCATAGACCAATGTAACCTGCCGTGTAAAAAAAGAACATTCCAATTCATCATTTGAGCCCTTATCATGGCTCACACGGTTAACACTGTTGCCTTACAGCTCTTTGGTCCTGTGTTCAGTTCTGAACTGAGCACCTTCTGTGTGAAGTCTGCATGTTCCACCCACTGGCGGGATATTGCTGGGTACACAAGTTTCTTCACGCAGACAGACATGCTTGCTAGTGTCACTGGTGTCTCTTTTAAATTGTGTGTGTGCAGCGATGGAATGGTGTCCTGTTCAAGTTGTAATCACTGCACTTCCAGGATAGATATTAATATTAATTACATCCATACACTGATATTATTAAATAATACGTTAGTATTGTAAATATTACACATTACAATATTCTCGTTAAAGTACTCGTAAACAGAGTAAAGACAGATTTTAAAAACGTTGTCCCTTCAGCCAGAGGTATTTTAGAAATCCCTTGTTGCATCATGGAGCAAAACGGTGCTTTAAAATTCGCATCTAAACTCAAAACTAGACTTTCCAGGATATCCGGCACTGTTGGCAAAGCTCTTTCCAGATGCTTTCAGGGCCTGTAGAAAGCGTAAATGCCATTCCCTTTTGAATATTTTATCAGCTTTCTGGGGTGATAGCTACTGTTGAATGTCTAGAAAAAGAACAGTTGATCGCCAACGAATTATTAGTGCCATCCTGAAGGTATTGAAGACGTCCGTATACGCGGCGTTTCTGTAAGGATTATTCCGAGAGGCTACAATATTTCCTGCTCAAGCACTGACTGCGATGGTAAAGGAAGCCTATTAGCAGCCGTGTAAAAATATCCAGGAAATCTGAAAAGATCTTAACAGGCTATTAAAACTATCAAAACGTTCATACAACACAACACAGGGCAAGAATGCGTTACCGGACTCTCTCTAAATGTCCGGTCATGCCAGCTCAGCACTATGCTATGGCATATAAAAAAAATAGCAACGTATTTCTACTTTGCGAAACTTAATGCTAAACGTATCGCATTTTACTAAAATATATTCAAGATGTGAAAGTCTGATTCTACGGGTGCATTATTCTACATAAAAACGAATTTCGCGCAAAAACACTTAACATTTATTTTTTACCAATGCGTTTCAATCAGAATTTCTTTCTTGCTGGATTGCAGAAATGCTCCTTCATTCCCCTCTCCCGTTTATTAAAAACGAAGGTACTGCGCCATCTGTCGGTCAGAAACAAAAGCTTCGAGTTTTCCCGTAGCTGTCACTCCCGTGATCAAACGGTAACAGATTGCACAGTGCAGACAAAACGCTTACATCACGTCTTTAGAAATAAACATTAATTTAACAGAGATAAACGCATAAGAATGGGGGCTCCGCGTGGCGCAGTGGCGAACATTGCTGCCTTGCAGAGCTAGGGCCATGAGTTCAGCTCCTGGGGTGCTATCTGTATGGAGTTGCTGTGTTCTTCAAAGGTTTCAAGTGGGTTTTCTCTGGGTTCTCCAATTTCCTCTCACAGTTCAAAGACATACTGGTAGGTTAACTGGCTCTGGGAAAAACGGCTCTAGCGTGAGTGTTTGTGTCTGTGTGGGTACCCTCTGATGGACTGGCGTCTCGTCCAGGGTGTGTCCAACATAGCACCTGCTGTTTGTTGGGACAGGCTCCAGCTCCCCCTGTACTGGATCATGTGGTTAAAAAATGGATGGATGGGAACAAGAATGGCCTATATAAAATGACAAAAAATGTAACCTTACTCAGCTTCATCAACAGATCCTCATCCCCACCTTACCACAGTCAGCAAAGTCACAGAGCTCCTCCAGACCAGGCAAATCAATAGGGATGGAGCCTCTCTCCTGCTCCTCATAGAAAGGTCAAGTCAGAAAATCCAATCATCCTATCAGCATGTTTCTGGGAGGGGGTATGTAACCGGAGCTCCAGGAGAAAATATGCTCAAATGTACAAAAACCATGTTGACTCCACACGGAAGGTGCCTCAAATCAAGAATTAAACTCAGGACACTTTAGCTATGAGGCCATAACACTGCCTGAGATGCCACTGAGTCATTCAAAAAGTGCAGTTATTTATTTGGTCGACATGTCTATCCAAGGTATTTTTTATATAACATACATATTTTGGTGCTCATGACCTTAACCACTACTCCTACACTGCCAAATCAAATAGGATTTGACTATCAGTACTTCAACAGGGTTAAGGCTAATATTATCCCAATTTCTAAGAAAGCGTTGTGTTTGGTTCCTGCAAAACATGAACCTGAACTATTTTATGTAGGGAACCACGAGTATTCCTGTAATTACTCTTGTATGATTGATTGAATACCATGGGAGCTGAAGAAACAGAATTCTACCACAACACATAGTGATTAATTATTGGTAAGGGACCAAACTTGAGCACGGTGCTGATATCACCAGGGTCTCTGGCCCAGTTTTTGTCTGTTCCCTTTCAGACATGGTGCTGGATAGCCCATAGCAGAGGATGACTCTGGTACCTTTCCCACATGATCTAGTATAGATACACACATTATCCAGTGCAGAATATATGCTTTGATTCTTTCAGAGTTTAGCTCAAGTAACCCACTGTTGTAATAATTCATCAAAATTCACACTGAAAAATAAAGGAGTCATCAAAAACTATTTCTTATTAACTTCAAAAAGTGATGTGATCCTAAATTTTTCACAGTGGCACACAAATTTCACGAATTTTTACATACCTCACCCACTGGGGAGATACCCAGTGAGGAAAGCAGTCCCTTCCGACTGTGGGATTGTGTCCACAGATCCACCAAGCCCAGTGTACTGTGTGCACCCTCCACTCTGCTCCACAAGGTGGCAGCATCACAGCTGAAACTTAAAAAGCAGGTATAGTGAACATAAGGTGAACAATTGCCTCCTATAATACAAAGTCCCTGGTCAGGATATTTGGGCATTGCTATTTTTGAAAGGTGGAGGGAACAGTGTTTCTTACTGGCTGTGCCAGCTGCCATATCACTCATATCAACTCACAACTGACAACCCACTGAAGCTCAGCAGGTGGGAGCCTGGTCAGTACTTCAGACATTACACTCATCAATGAGAGCTGAGTAAGTTACTATCTTAATCCACGATACAAAGCCTGTATTTGGTCTGTGCATCAACTTTAACTAGGCATGAGGTGAAAAAATGAAGTACCCTTGTGTTTGGGGCTCTGGAGATTTTTCAAGTAATTCTGAAAGCAATCTTGCCTCGCTGATCTCATCGCCCCCTTCCACTAATGGAAAGGAATCCAGCAGAACCTGCCTGGCACACACCTGAACAATCTGAAACACAAAGCATCACGAGTGAACACAACACCAAAGGAAAATGCATATACTGCACAAACACATGGGTATGGGATCGAGCACACTGCATACAGATTGAAATACTAATGCAAATATGAACATCTGACATAGGCCCTTTTGCACATTGCTTCTTTAAAATGCTATTCCTCAGTTACTTGTAAACTGAACCACATAAGATTATCGCTGTTTACGCCCTTGTTTCAAGAACTAAGAGCGCGTAAGGAGCAACAATTAAATTGCAACAGAAGATGACACAATTGAGCAATCTACTATAGTTGCTAACTCAATGCCAGGATGACAACCCGAACCGTTTATTTAAAACATGTAAAAAGTTGCACATGAATTTGCAATGCTTTGTAGAGGAGTTACTTTTTACGTTTTGTATATAAATATGGGGGAATACAGTATGTTCAAACCTTTTGATGATTGGTCTCCAAGGCTCGTGTGAAGTGTGCGTTCACGTCTGAAGGTTGCCAGTGTTCCGAGTGCTTTGCAAAGCCCGCTGCACACAGGTAGGCGTCCTCAACGCTGGTGTTGTCTTGGCTGAAAGAATTCCATTCCCCAAAAGAGTTTTCCGTTATGGCATCGTTAGGCTCCTGACAATGGCCCACCATTTTAAAGCGGGGAAAACAACTCTCTTCGAAATCGCTCCAGGAATTATTTTGTTCATGAGCTCCTGACAGGTCCGTTGTTGACATGTTTGGCCCAAGGTTGATAATCCCCCCTCCAGTTTGTTGCTTAGACTCTACGTGTTGTACAGTTCACAGCTCTGATAGTTCACTCCAATAGCTCAAAGAGACGAACATATCTTGTGCAATGGTGGAAAATCCGGAGGCATATATTCCGTCGATAACATTTCACAAAACTTCAAGTATTTTGCAGCTAGAGCATTTGGTATCTCTTGTCATCTCCAGGTTCTTTACATCAGTCTATATCGGTAGTTTCCATTTTCTCTGCATGGCAAATTTGAGCCGAACCGACCGTTACAAAGCGCTGTATGCCGTTTATCGCAGAAACAACAACAGTCCCGATGTACGGATGTAGTGTACAGATATAGATTTCTTTAAATATTTTCTAATTATCTCTTCTTCGTTCATAAAACGGTCCTTCAACCTGTGAAACAAAAAGGTGTTAACATCTTTCTGCTCTTAAAATCTCCCCAAGGCGAGAACTTAAGAAGACGACTAACCAGAGTCTCTTGCATTAATACACACGGATGCAGCTATATTACACAATTTCCCCACCTCGACTTTGTGCTCTCCACATTTAAGAAGTTGCGAAATAAAAATTGTTATGTTATTGCATTACATGAATTTCATTCCTTTTGAACGAGTCTCCCGGCCGACAGCTGATTTTTATTAATTAACCATTGCCCCTATGATAAGAAGGTTTCCATTATAATAGTAATACTTAATATTTATCATATTATTGTATTGCGCTTAACAGTTGCACTTCTGTAATAGCAGACCCTTTTGGCTAAAACTAAAAATTAAATTCCAAAAACGTTCGACATTCACATAGCCACATTTAAGACACTAAAATACTTGACAGGGTCAACATACACTGAAGGTTAATACCAGTTAACAATTAATATTATTGCAGGAGTGAGTGACAAATACAGCAACCTCCCTTACTGTAACATTATACTACTTCCTCTTGCAGGGTAATAACACCTCGGCATGTAAGCGCAAGGTATGTGATGTGTGAAAAGCAGTGATTTATTTTGAGAAACGCGAATAAAAATAACGATGTACAGGAGTTATTACTTACATTATAATTGTTTTTGCATTGTTAAGCTGCGGAAATCTACAAAAAGACGCTTAATTGAGTTTTTCGGTAACCTAACAACCAGCTTTAAATCATTAGGTAGTTCGTAAATCCTAGAAAAACTAAATTTCACGGGTAATGAATGAATAACAAAATTATTAACGAATGCTAGTTTGTTTTAATCACCAAGTTCTCTGGCGCTTCCACCTGTTGTTGTATTAAGTTAAATATGACTAGACTGTCGACAAACAGCAAGACTTCCGCTCTTTTTGTTACCATACATAACATAAAGAAAGATCCCTACCTTTCCGGTGTCGTCACCTTGTTAACAGGTGTGATCTCGCAGTAAATAAAGGACAGGGCATTTCCTGCTCTCAGGATCCACCCCCCAGCTGACAGCTCGCTTCAGGTGAAACTTTCAGCTCTCTGCTGCTCTCGGTAACGCGCAGTGGAATTTTGTGTCGAGCGCGGCTGTGTGACATGAGGATATGACGACATTAATCGGTTAAATCTTCATGCTCGATTAGCTGAGAAGCTGAGATTGCAACCTGCAATCAGTGGACTGATAAAGTTTTGCTTTTAAATTGCTAAGAAAAATAAAAAAGTGTACCAGCTGTTCGAAACAGATTTCATTTAGTTTTTTTTTATGTACCCCATACCTGATTGATAGTAGGAAGTGAGCAGCTTCCATAGAAAATAATAACAACTTGCGCCATTATGGCAGAATCATCAGTCATCAATCGTCGCCATCACCACCACCAACAAGATTCTACTTATAAATAAGACTGAGGTGTAGAATAGATA